TCTCCTGCTGGTCCTTCAGGAAGGACCCATGGAGTTTTCGAAACAAAGTGGAGATGCTGTCATCTTCTTCCACGCTGCCATCTTTAGAGCTCCCCGTAAAGAGTATCTCCTGCTGCGAATCACCCAGCTTTTCATCCATACTGTAAGTTTCCTCATCACTTTGAAGGGGAGAGTAAGAGATTTCACAGCTACTTAAGTCATTTTCTGGCAGTGGGGAGTATATGCATTCTGAGTTGCTTTGGCTGTCTCGTTCTTCAGCAAGAGCCAAACTGACTCCTACCAGTTTGTCCTTATTAACCCTTTCTGGAAATTGTGGGATTTGTTGGGACGTTTGGATAGCTGTCGAAGAAGAAGAAATCTTTTTATTGGTTTCAGGTGGAGACTGAGATTTCCTTAGACACGGTATCACTAACGAGGGGTGAGCTGCAACATTTCTTAAGCTTTCCGTTGGCTTCTGATGCAGAGACCATCTTTCCTCAATGCCACAGAGAAGGCCTGAATTAGTCTCACTGAAGCAATCCTCTGACCCAGGTGGTGGGCTGCTGAAGGAACTATTGCTTGCCCTGCTCTGAGCCAGCAGGAGGTGAGTGTATCTCTTGAAATGAGAAGGAATTGTTGAGGTGCACAGAAGACCATCAGGACAATCTGAAAATTTTTAAAAAAGGTAATGCAGGATCAAAGCACAGACAGCTTTAAAACCTAAGTGGGAAGTCTTCAGTCCTACTTTGAGGGCTTAGCACCATGCCTATCTTTTTTTTTTTTTTTAAAGATTTTATTTATTTTATTTATTTGACAGACAGAGATCACAAGTAGAGAAGCAGGCAGAGTGAGAGAGAGGAGGAAGCAGGCTCCCCGCTAAGCAGAGAGCCCGATGTGGGGCTCGATCCCAGGACCCTGGGATCATGACCCGAGCCGAAGGCAGAGGCTTTAACCCACTGAGCCACCCAGGTGCCCCACCATGCCTATCTTTATACAGTCAAAAGATCCAGCATAAAATAATAATAATCCAGCATGGTTTTGCAACATGCTACTTATTATCTCTAAATCAAATACTTTTCTAAATTTTTTTTCAGATGATGTTTTTTCCCAAAAAAATTTTGTTAAGACTAACACCTTTTCCTCCCTTAGTAACTCTCACAAATGTGAGCCCCTTCAATTACCCTCCATATTTACACAAGGTGTTTATAGGTGCTCACTAGTTCATTATTGTTCCGGTAATAAAGAGTGAAAAAGACTAGTTCACTAGTTGACTAAAGTTCAACCCCAGTTTTTATCTTATCAAGTAATACGGATTTGTGACAATTAAAAGTACCCAATTACGGTCCGTTATTTAATATTTATACCGCATACAGTAAGAGTATTAACAATCTTAATTAGTTATAGCTGTTCATACACTGAATAGATTCTAAGATTTGAAATTAAATTTTATGAACTTTAATAATAATCGGGGAAGTATTCCCCATCATAACATAATAGAGAAACAGTCTGTAAACCATCATGGCGTAACCCCTTGTATGTTAATTTCCAGGTTGTTTTATTTATTTAAGCAATCTCTACACCGAGTGTGGGGCTTGAACTCATGAACCCAAGATCAAGGGTTGCATGCTCTTCGGACTGAGCCAGCCAGGTGCCCAATTTCCAGGTTTATCCAAAAAATGACCCACTCTCCCTCCTAAAAAAGACGTTACATTAAATTAGAAGACCTCGCTGCTTAACTTAAAACCACCTCATAAAAGTATTTGTTGTGGCACAGAATTCAGTTCAAGAGTCCATCTGAGATTCTATTCAAAGGAGTTTAGTCAGTGAAAAACCAAAAGAAAAATCTCTTTGAGGTGGCTTCATCAAAGACCTTTCACCCTGAGAAGCTCACCATGAGACTACAACTTCCATTTCTGATTTTCAAGCCACTTAAAAGCAAATTAGCAGCATTTGACGAGACTTCCACTTTATAAAAAAAAAAAAAAAAAAAAAAAAAAGCTAATACCAGGGGCACCTGGGTGGCTCAGTGGATTAAGCAGATGCCTTGGGCTCAAGTCGTGATCTCAGGGTCCTGGGATCGAGCCCCGCATCTGCCTCAGCATTCCTGCTGAGCGGAGAGCCTGACTCCCCCTCTCTCTCTGTCTGACTCTCTTCCTACTTGTGATCTCTCTCTCTCTCTAATAAATAAAATCTTAAAAAAAAAAAGCTAATACCAAAATTTTTTTAAGTTCTTTTGTGTCTTTATACAGTACTTTAAAATAACTAGAGATTAATAATAAGATGTCCTCTGAATCATAAATAACATGAAAGCCGTACTGAGTAGTATATTTATTTTGCTGAATTCTCTTTGAGATTTAAAAATCCATATATGGTATATATAACTTGAAACATACAAATCATCCTAACAATGCATTCTCCATATACTCCCAAGTAGGACTACCTACATGTTAAACATGACATTATATATCTCAAAAGATAATAAAAGCATAACGTTACTTCAGTTATCATTTGGCACATTTTTAATTCAAGTCTTAAAAATCTAAAACTCCTTCCCAGATCTCCTTCCTGTAAAATAGCATGATAAATTCAACATTTAAAAGACTCAACTATATGCATAATTCTCTAAATTTCTGTTTCACGAAGGTAACAAATGGGGAGTTTAACTTTCAAGAATGCTCATCTGTAAAACATCAATACCACCTACCTTCTGCAGTCATTGTGAGAGTCAAGTAAGTAAGGAATGAAGGCAGCAGAGTCTGTGCTCAATTAACATTTATGAAAAATCACTGAGATGTTTAGGAACTTGTACGAAATAATACAATGCATTTCAATTGCTTTCAAGTTTGCAACATTCTTTACAATTAAACCACTGACCATGATCTCTTTACCGTCCTCAAGAAGGGTTTCCTTGTTTCCTTCTAAGTCATTTACACTTCAGTGCCTCATCTCCCTTTCACTTTATTGCCTGCCTTGCTCGTTCCATTGGACTGATTCATCCGGCCGAATGCAGGTTTTTTAGACTATTTAAAGACTACTCCCTTTTTTGTCATCTTACCTGTTTCAGAAACTGGTGGAGAATCCAAACACTCAAAAACATGCCATCGAGGTGTCTGACCTAGCAATGAGGAAAAAGGCATCTGGCAGTTTGGGCAGTATCCATCATAAACTGGACGTATCTTTGGAGATACTTGTTTGTTTTTGCGAGTCCTACTGTGCTTTCCTGGAGTTGTCTCCTTGTCTTGGGACTGGTGAATACCATCTCCACAGCTAGAATTCTGACTAGAAGCTACGGAATTCTGACTATCTGTTTCTCCGAAGCACACTTCGGGGTCCTTTGTCTTCTCTTTAGGTTCTGCGGTTCTTTTTTTATTTCTGTTGCGTTTTGATTGGTATTTTCCATCTGTTGCTTTTTCAACAGATTTTGGAATATTCTCAGAGCAATTATTTGTATGTACTGGTTTTGGTTTTCTTTTAGATTTGTATTCCCAGATGTCTTCTTCCAAAAAATCATCTTCTAACATGGCAAAATGATTTTTAAGTAAATAGAGAATCTATTTCTTGTTATAAAAATTTTTAATGGAACTATTTTGCTGAGGAAAAAAAAAATAACAAAACCCCCACTAACTTGATGGGAATCTAAAGCTTTGATAATGAATATATTGGCAAACTACAAACCTTATACCTGAGAACACCAGCTATTCCATTTATAACACTATAAAATTAAGAGAACCTACCCCAGGGGTAGCATGAGAATTTTCCCATTGCGACCACTATTTCATTCCAGTGTGTTAGCCTTTCCAAGGACTTGATTCATAAATATAAGAATCAGTAATACTTTGAAAATTAAGCACTCATAGAAATATTGGTCCAAGAGCTTAACCTTAGAATGACCTTTGTAAAATTGTTATAAAGCTCCTGTTAGTTCCCTTTCAACTGGACGATGTCCAAATTAATCACAAATAAAACCACAGTCTCTGGGCAATCTGCGTAGTAGGGTTTCCAAACATTAAATGGCTATCTCAGCTTGCTAGTACAACCATAATCACACCATAATCAATGAGGTGTGTGATTCGGGAGAGGAGGGTTAGTAATTGCCCTTCTTGTCTCTTGGATATCTGACCACTTCAGCTTCCTGGGTCTGTCCCGTGTCTTCTTCAGCAGCAATGAGCACACACTGCACAATGAACAAACAAAATTCAAATATGTGAAGTTGTGCCTGCATTGAGGGCACCCACACTCCTAACTCCAGCTGCAGAAGTGGTCTACCCTAGATGTAGTCAGCCCTCTCTCCACGAGCCTCAAAACCAAGGGTCACCTGCCTGATGCCTCCCACCTGCTCTGCCTTCTGCTTGTACTCAGGAGGCTGCAAGGCCAACTTGCAGTGAGAAAGGCCTTACCCCTTCTAGGGCAGGGAATGAGTAAGCTGCGAGCACAGCCGGTTCCATAAAAGCACTAAGAGCCCTCCGCTTCTGAAGTCGGAGGCCCAGCCCACCCGGATCCTCGCCCGAGCCCACCTGCCACCCGTACACCCTCGGGAGTAGCTCCAGCTGCTTCCGCTCATCTCGGCAACCCCCTCTCCCAGCTCCGCTGACAATCTGTTCGTGCTCGCACTTTCAGCACTGCAGGGTGACAAGATACTGCATTTGTGTATAAGCCAAAGCCATTACCAGTCACTCTCAACTTAAAAGAAACAAAACAAAACAAAACAACAACAACAAAAAAAAAACCCACCCCATGAGGATATCCCTACCCGCTTTACCTCTGGTGTCTTGGCGGGAACAACTTCCTCTTGGCAGTGCCGTGTCGAATCGGCTGATACTGGTCTAAGGGCGGGATTTTGAAAAAGTTTGTGTCCTTTTAGGTCCTACTGATTTATATTATTTTATCTTATTTTTGTTCTAAAACCTGCTAATTTCCAAAGTGAAGTGTGGGGGAAATGGTTCTCAGAGCTCCAGGAACGCGGACCCAGAGACTTTCCCCATGCTGAATCTGGCGCTCTGAATGTCCAGGCTCGGTTGTGCCGGGACGCTCTGGAAGGGGCGGGGTGGTTTAGGCGGGTGGCTAGATTACGGGCCCGGGAATTCCGACAGTTTGTACCTTAGCATTGGAATGCATGATTACAAAAGAAAAAGGTGTTGTTTAGGTGAAGCGGGGGCCGGTGGCGAGTGAGGTGAATGTGCCGTTTTGAAACGAAAGGACAGTAATCGCTTCCTCTCTCCCTACTGGAGACCCTCCCGCGGGCCCGGCGGCCGCCTCTGGACTGTCCGGAGAGAACATGGCGGCCCCCGGAGCCCGGGGCTGTAGCCTCGCGGGCCTGCTCCCCGCGCAGACCCCGCTGGAGTACGCCCTGCTCGACGCCGTCACCCAGGAGGAGAAGGACAGTCTGGTCTACCAGTATCTACAGAAGGTGGACGGCTGGGCGCAGGACTTGTCAGTGCCCGAGTTTCCGGAAGGTGAGGGACAGGCTTTGGGGTGGGGACCCTTCCCGGAACCTCCCCTTCCTCGGGGACGGAGCCCTCCCCTGAAGCGGGGGGGCGAGGCGGGGTTGTGCGACCGCGCCCGGGCGGATCGCCAGCTCTGCGGCTTCCCCGGGTCCGCAGGCGGCGGGAAAAGGTGGTTTTCTGGTGCGCGGGGACGTGCACATTCGCCTCTGTATCCCGAGTCCCTGCCGGGGCCTTGTGTTAACTCAGTAGACATTCCATGAATGTTTAGTGGCCCCGGTTGGCAAGGATTGAAACGTCCATGCCACCCTCTCCTTTCAGTCTGGCTGCCCAGCATCGTCACTGTCATCCTCTGCGCGTAATGCTGACATTTACTGATCACTTCTGTGCCACACGCAATTGTAAACACATCGGGGGACTGTTTTAGTTAATCCTCTCTACAACTCGTTGAGACCTCTTAAAGACCTAGTATTATAGTTTTTATAGTTGAGGGAACTCAGCCACAAGACGGCTAAGTAATTTCCTCAAGGCTTAGCAACTAATAACCGCCGCAGCCGGATTATGCAGACCCCAGACTGGCAAGTGTCTTAGCTGTACCACACTTCGCTGTTCAAAGTCTTGAAATTTGTAATTTTTTAAAAATCTGCATCAATTACGGCCTGTCTCTAGGGTTTGAACCCCAGCTCTGTGAGGGTTTGGAACACCAGGGAACGGATACTCCCTGTAGTGCTATATGGGAAGAACATCTTGCAATGATAAATGAAACCGTACTTTCCCTTCTTTGGTTGAGACTGGCATTGTGTTGTTGGTGTTGGCATGTCTCCTGGCGTGACACTGAAACCACATGTATAGTTAATTGGTTGGCTGTGGCAGGGTTCGGTATCTCATGGGAGATAACACCAGAACCTTGCCTTTGAAAATAGTCTTATGTGTCTTTCCAAGCCTTTTGCTCCCACCTTCAAAAATGCTTATTTTTTTCCATTACTAATCCTATCCTGAATTGGAAATATTGTGGAGTTATTATGAAAGAATTGGGTTCATGACTGCTTCTCCCATCAAAAGAACTTTAACAGATTATATACATATGTGCATGTTTTTAAAAAACTTTGTAAGAAGTTCGTTACATAGTATAGTGTTATAAACAGGCTACCAGTTAGGTTTTGGGCCAGTGTTTTTATTTTCTAGTCCTGTTTATATTTACAGTGGGTGTATTTTATTACCATGAGATTTGACCTTAGTGACTCATAAATAATACAATAAAATATTCAGGCTTCATATGTGACCTAGTCAAATTTTCTGAAGGGTCTGATTGTTGAGCTCACAATACTAGGTAAGTTTTTCTTGGTTTCTTTAAGCTATAATCAAGAAGTCATAAACAACTATCTCAGAAACAGTATGCTTTGTTCATTTCTTAAAAGAGATGTGTTTATGGGAAACTGGTGTAATGGATGGATTCAGACAGAATTGGGATTAAATCCTAGTTATTTCATTTGTTAGTTGCATGATTTTGAGCAAGTTACTCGATTCTCCAAGCCTTACTTTACTCCCTCATAAAAAAGAACGAGTATTAGCTTTCAGGTGAATAATGTGGATTAGAGGTAGTATATCTAAAGTTCTTAGTTTGTAGGACAGCTCAATGGATGTTAAGTTTTTAAAAATTATATTTATTGTAATTGTTATTGTAAAATTTATTATTATTAAGCCTGGCTAGCACAATAACTGACATGTAATAATACTTTCTTTACTCTCCAATCTAAGTCACTCTTGAGTATTTACAGAAAATAAATTTAAAAGACCAATTCATAAATATTTTGCAGTTAAGATGTGAAACATAACTTTAAAGTTTTATATGATTACGTGATCTGGTATACAATTAACACTTTATTAAAATGCATAATTAAGAGCTTACTCTGCCCTGAAATTTCACTACGTTGGACTCGTTAAGGCAAAAGACTAGTTTGATTTGCAGGTTATTTATTTATTTATTTATTAGAATTTTGTTTTAATTGAGTAACTCCAGTTACTGTTACTAGTCATTAGCTGCTGTTACTCACTTAATTCCACCCAGTTTTGTTTTTCAGTTTCTATAAAATATTTCTGAATACCTTTCGAGATGTAATTAATAGTGTTAGTGGCTGTATTTACTTATAAACAATGAGCTCATTATCTTTGTTTTTCTAGATTGGTTAAGTAGAGATGTTGTACTTTTAATCTTTAACAAAATCTTTACAGTGCATAGTTAAAATTGTAAGTCATGCTCAAGTAATTATAAATTCTGATTTATCAAAGCACAGATTAATGAGATTCTACCTTTCTTTGGAGGGAAGGAAACATGTTCTTCATCAATATTAATGTTGCTTCCATGAAATCTGTAATAGTGTATTTTGCTTAACTTTGCATTTAAAATATTTTGTATTTAAGGTTTCATTCAAATCCAGAGCACTTTAGTTCTTATGAAATTGGCGTAGGCATTTTGTATGTTTATATTTTAACACTTTACCCCTTTTTGAGTTTAGTCCTGTTTTGCTTTTAAGATAGCCTCATTCTCAAAAGCTCATTTGAACCTGATTGTGTACTTAGGTCCTCTTAATATTTGCTGTTTACTCTCGCTTTTTACCTAGGTGTGTTGCTCTTGCTTTCTTTCACACACAGACTAGTGTACTATTTCTGCAAGAATTTAGTAGCTTTTTTCTGACTATATTTGCATACTGCCCCATTATAGAATCTTTACCATCTACCCCACCCACTCAGCCCTTCCTTAGAAATAGTAATGGTTTATGTTTTAATGGAAAGTTTTAGATAAGTTATCTCTGCCTTTTCCTTTAATCATGATAGTCTGTTTTGTGTAAATTTCAGGATTAGATTGGCTGAACACCAGAGAGCCTATTTCTGTCTACAAGGATCTGTGCGGAAAAGTAGTCATCCTGGATTTCTTCACCTACTGCTGCATAAACTGCATTCACCTATTGCCTGATCTTCATGCATTAGAACACACATACTCCGATAAAGGTATCTGCCCTTTAATTGGTTTCTAGCAGACTGTCCAGGCATAGGCACTGGAGGAGTAGCTGACTCATTTGCTCATAGGAAAATGAACATTTGGCAAGACTTCAGTGATTCTAAAAGTAATTTCTAATCTATGATTTAAGGACTCCCTGTACCTTCTCATGAAGAGTTAAGCTTAGTGATAATGGTTTGCCTTCCTAAGGAGCCAGGATTTAGTATATTTTTTTTTCCTCTGAGGTTAAGGACATGATTTACTTTTTTATGATCAAGTATTTTTAAAAGTTCATTTTGTATATTTAGACTTACCTAAATTTGTCCTATGAGAAAATATAACTTGTGACTCTAATCTTACACTCTTCTCACTAAGATATAAAGGTTTAAAGTTCTTATTAGGAAATGTGATTAGACTTCCTTTAATTTCAGATGACATGAACTACAGTGGAATGCCAAATATTATAGCAGATACTTTTTCTTTGACCCTGCTTTATTAAAAAATGATTTATAAAGGTTAATGTTTTCCAAAGCACACTAGGAAATCCTCTTTTATGGTATTACAAATTCTGAAGATGTAAGAGATTATACTTAGTATTTGCTTTAGAACTTTGAAATTTTTTCAGATCTCTTTCCTCTTGTTTTCTTTTTTCTAAAAAAGAGCATATGAGGTTAATGCAACTAATTAAAGGTTTGATTTAATTAGGCTTAAATTAACACAATTGGAGTGATAAAAGGGATAGAGGATCACTGATCTTAGAGTAAAAATGAGAATATATTACAGAATTGAAAGATAACTTGGTTTAAAAAAAAGTGAATTTAAAAAAGGAATGCTGGGTTAAACTCTTCAGTGCAAGTGAAACCTCAGATGCTTATAAATTATAATATATTTTATCTTAAAATTGCCAGTCAGTGAGCTTTATAAAGGTCTCTGGTATTACTGGTAGCTAATTCATGTTTTCAAAAGTTTATCTGTATTGATTTAAGAAGTAAAAGTATCTTATTAGCTGCTAGTTTTGGATCCCTGTGTGTTTTGGTCAAGCTCATGCAAGTGAGTGTATTTTTTGAACATGTGATATATGCTGAGTACTCTGCTAGCTGCTGAGGGAATATGTAACAAAGTTGAATAAAAAGCATCATGGAACCTGTGGAAAAGAGTAATTCACTTGGCTTAGAAGCATTGGAAAAGATTTCACAGAGGAGCAGACAGTTAAGCTTGAACTTGAGAAATAAGCAGGACTACAGCTGAAAATGAGAAGTGATCTGGACAAAGCTGGCTGAGGAAGTGACAGGTAGATAAGTAGGGAGGCATGGAAGAGTAGGCTGTTTGGGGAGAGGTCAGTAGTTCAGTGTGGCCGGATTGTAGGGACTTCTGGGGAAGATGAGGGGAAGGTGCCTTAGGTTCAGACCAGCTGTGAAAAGTTTCGTTATTAAGAATTAACATTCTTGGGGCGCCTGGGTGGCTCAGTGGGTTAAAGCCTCTGCCTTCGGCTCAGGTCATGATCCCAGGGTACTGGGATCGAGCCCCACATCGGGCTCTCTGCTCAGCGGGGAGCCTGCTTCCTCCTCTCTCTCTCTCTCTGCCTGCCTCTCTGCCTACTTGTGATCTCTGTCAAATAAATAAATATCTTAAAAAAAAAAAAAAAGAATTAACATTCTTAATAGCTTAGCCTTTCTCTTCCACTGAAGATACAGAGATATTTAATGTTGTTTTTGATTTATTTATTTTTTAAAAAGATTTATTATCTTACTTGCCAGAGAGAGAGAGATTGAGAATGAAAGCAAGCGCGAGCATGCACGCGCAGGAGCCGGGGCGGGGGCGGGGGCCGGGTAGGGGGGTGGCAGCAGGCAGAGGGAAAACAGGCTCCCCACTGAGCAGGGAGCCTTGTGATGCGGGGCTCAATCCCAGGACCCTAGGATTATGACTTGAGTCAAAGGCAGACACTTAACTGCTAAGCCACGCAGGCATCCCTGTTTGTTTGTTTAATAGGAGGATGAAAGACTGGGTTAAGAATTCCAGAATTAACTGTTTCCATACTTAGATAACCCGTAAAAGACTGTATGTGGTTAACTTAATTACCGCACACCTGAAGCAAATTCAAGAATTTATTCAGAATGGGTCTTTGTAATCTCTTTATCTGTTTACTGGAGCATCGTTTTTATAGTACATTGTGACACAAAATAAAAACTATTTCTGCATGCAAATGCACTTCTGAGAAGTGAGATACTTGAAGTGATCCCAACACTGTAATTTCAAAGAAACATTACTTCAGTAATATGCTACTTTATGAAAATGCTGGTAACTTCAGAATATTTTTTATTCAAAATATACATTCAATTCATATTCACAAAAGCAGGTATACCCAGAGATTTTCATATGAAAGCTCAATAAGCTGTCGCTAAATTAATTTGCTTTCTTACAGCGAATGTGTCTTGTCTCATCACTATCTGCTATGTTTCTGAACATATTTGCAGCAATGCTAATAGTTTTTGAAGTGACATTCAGCAGCCTATTTTAAATTCCATGGAATATTCAGCTCATTTCATCAGTAAGCCAGAAATGCTCAGCCAACTGAGGAAGTGCTTATTAATTCAAAACAGCCTGAAAAGGGTCCAAATTAATACCCAGTCTCCTTCCTCTGTAAAATAGCTTTTAAAATTAAGTTTATAACAGTGACCGGTATCATTTTCACGATAGCATGAGACATTATAAATGCCTTTTGATCTTTAGGAAATTCTTAAATGTAGCCGTGCCCTAAGCTTGTTATTAATTTATAATGATTTAGCACATGTTTACATTAACTGATTAACTTACATTAACTGATAGGTAGCTCACATTTGGGGGTTTTATTTTCCTCTTTGTACTTGAGAATATATAAAATTTATTGCCTTTTTATGCTGGATGCATTAATGATAATGTTATACAATACACAAATGTAGCACAATGGCTATTAAGGAAAAGTGTTCTTATTTCATAAAAAAATTATTAGGAACACTTGACATATTTTAAAATGCGACTGCTAGGTATATGTTAATGCATAATTAAATCAGACTTAACAACCTAAATGCTAGGATTACTACTGGGTAAATGCTGGTATTCTCACTATGTAGTAGACGCTATTTTTCTGTTTTAACTTTATTAAAAATTAGAAGATTGAGTTCTAATTTTATAATGAAACTAAACCTTCCAGTGACTCCATATATAATTTGATGGTGTGTCAGGTTTCCCAGTACCATCCCCAGGTTCCATAATTCTTTAGGAGGACTCACAGCTGTAATTTGTTACAGCTGAAGGATACAACGTGAAAGCAGCAAAGGGAAGCGGTGCCTGAATGAGGCTAAGTCCAGAGGAGACAAAACACAGGCTTCCTCTTCCCTTAGTGGAGTCATACCGGACAACTTAATTCCCCAGCAAGGAGTTGTTACAGCACGTTTGAGATGTTACCAGGGACTCTCATTAGAGACTCAGCAACCAAAGTTTTTCCTGGGGGGTGGCCAAAATAGGCAGCTTCTGGAGGAATTTTCTGCAGGAAAATTCTAGAGTCCCAGAAAGAAAGCAGGTGTTCAGCATAAACCATATATATTTTTTAAGATTTTTATTTATTCATGGACACAGAGAGATCACAAGTAGGCAGAGAAGAAGGCAGAGAGAGAGAAGGGGGGAAGCAGGCTCCCCGCTGAGCAGAGAGCCCGACTTGAGACTTGATCCCAGGACCCTGAGATCATGACCTGAGCTGAAGGCATAGGTCTATCCCACTGAGCCACCCAGGCGTCCCCAGCATAAACCATATTACTTGTACACCAGTTTAGGCTTAGCAAGCCACTCTTACCATTCTGGGAATGGCAGGAACCCTCCTGAAATCCTGGCAAGGGCCACCCGTATAAGCAGGCCTTCAAAAGAATACCGGTCAGACATGCTGTGTTAATTCTTAATATGTACACACTTTATATTTTCTCTCTGAATCAGTCCATATATTCTGTTTTTAAATAGATGAAGTATGATGGAAATATTGGTCAGTTTGTGGCACTTTGAGGGTATGTCAGGAGAGACATAGGGCAACGTCCTTTTTTGAAATTATAAAAAAAAAACTTTAAAAAATTTTTTTTTTATTTTTTAAGATTTTATTTATTTATTTGACAGATCACAAGTAGGCAGAGAGGCAGGCAGAGAGAGAGGAGGAAGCAGGCTCCCTGCTGAGCAGAGAGCCCGATGCGGGGCTCGATCCTATCATGACCTGAGCCGAAGGCAGAGGCTTTAAACCCACTGAGCCACCCAGGCGCCCCTATAAAAAAAAACTTCTTAAAAAATTCAAATATGTTTCAGCTCTGTGCTTTAGTGTTCAGTGATTTTGGTCTTTTCATGTTTCTATTGCTTTTAGTACGAAACCTAAAATCCTACCTGTCCACACCCTACTCCTCTTCCTCACGGTGTTCTAGCCTCCCTGGCCTGCCTTTAGTTCCTTAGTGTCACGGCTCCTCTTGCTTTAAGGCCCTGACACTTAGTGTTCACTCTGCTTGGAATACCCTTATCTTTTCTAGCCTAGGGAAGTATCATCCTTGTCGTTTAGATCTCAGAATGTCTCCATTTACAATTTCCTAGCATGTAAAACTCCTCAACTGTTTTTCAGTCCTTGCATTTACCTAGGTTATTACAGTGTTTGTGATTAAACTGTGCTTTCTACTATATATTATATAAATATAATGTTATATATACTGCTATATACAGTTATAATCTAGTACAATTCTGTATATTTGTATCTCTGCAAAATAAGACCTTTGAAGTTTTTAAAATGATTTTTTGAAGTTATTATTTTATTACTATTATTTTAGAAGTGGTTGTTCTTTTTATATGGCTTCTCCTTCCCACTTCCCTCCCAGTTTTCCCTCCCCCATTTCCCTCTCCCTCCTTTCCTTCCATATGGAGTAGTTTTGATCCCTGTGCTGGCAAAAGATTCATAAAGTGAAGGATCTTTTACATCCTATTTTTTTATTGTGTATGATTAACAGAAAAA